TGCTGTCTGAACTTCAAAAAATGTGCCAGTCCAATATGTTGTGGGCCCTCAAGATGGCGGGTACGTTTCTGCCATTTGGATTACTGCCACATCTGCTATTACTTTAGGCCACTTTCCAGTCCTTTGGCATCGCTAACTCTTAATATGTTTGAAAGTTAGCCAGCTGGCTCTAAGGTATTTGGGTTTGCACAAGTCATCCTACCTTTGATGCTAAAAGATATGGATATAAAGCAGTAGGGCATTTCTGAACATGATACAACCCATGCTTGCCCTTTCTTCCTGCTGCTGCAGGAACAGCAGCAGGACCCGGCCTTAGGGACCCCTCAAGGCAGGTGAGTAATTTCCAATGAAGACAATTTAGTACCTTTAAGAAAAAAAGAAGCACTCCTTGAGTTTTGGCTTAGGTCTGTGAGGCTGTGACCACTGCTTCAGGAACAAGAGCAGCGGCTTGAAGCTCCTTTGTATCTGCCCTATCATTAGGAGAGGATCCACACAGTCCATGTATTGTTGCTGAGAAAACCAAACTAGCTAAATCAAGAAGCCGTGACACCTACAAATCATGGAAGAACAGTGCCTTCAACACCTGCCAATGGCTTTGCACAAAGTACATGTTTATAAATTCTGCAACCCAAGAAACTTTGACATATTTTATTTTCTAACAATAACTACTTTTAAATAAAAGATATCTTCCTACCACTTCCCTTGAGAGGATCTTGTTATATATTTAAGTTGTATATACATCCTTGTTTTGTAATAAGAATTTTCCCATACAGTTCGTCTAATAGCAAGTAATGCTTATTCATTGAGGCAACCAGACTCTACTTGTAAATGTACTTACTTCAGAAGAGATTTGTCCTCCTTATGAAGCTACCCACTCTTAAGATCCAGTCTCATCCTTTCTTTTATTTCCTGAGATAAACATATCTCAGAAAAAGCTGTAAGAGCTCCTGATTGAAGCTTCCCTTCCAGAAAAATCCCAGATTATAATATCGAACATCATAACCATGATAAAAAAATGAACTGAGCTTATTACTAGGCTTTTCTTTGCCTATCCAGTCTCATCACTCTAGCATTTATTTTTCTCTATTTTTTTCCTCCACGTTTTACCTTTCCTATGATTAAATGAGACATCTCAGGAAATGTTAGTCTTGTGTTATAATGTTTATACTGAAAGTACTAGGCTGCAGTTCCACTTTCAAAGGAGGTTTGCATCTATTTTTCCTAGAAGACAAATTTAACCTCCATCCTTTGATCAATGGTCCTACCTCTGGAATTGAATGGAAGAGAAAATGTCATTACTGGAACAGCTTGACTGGCTGTAATGCAGAGTGATCTCTAAGAAGTTTCAAGTGAAAGTTTAATATAAAACAAATAATGCATAGGAAACTAGGCAACAGATTAGAAATACCTGTAAAAAATACCCCTGCTTTTTTCAAGCTTCTTATTTGTTTGCTGTAAAGGGGTAAGCTATCACCTCCCGTATGTCTTCACTCGTTATGATCATAGCACTTTTTCAACTTTTCACACAGACCCCCTGAAACCTTACTCTAGGCAAAATAATCAAAGTTAACAAAGAAAACCATTAAGAGGACACAGAAGGTTTGATGGCTCACAAGTCCCAAAATCCATCTCCTTACATTTAATTAATTTCCATTTCTGAAAGGTCAGAGTCCTCAACTGATCAAAAAATGTTGTGCAGCTTTAACCAAATGAAAAACCTCCCATAAATAATAAAATTGCCCTTCATTAGAAAACACAGAAATTCTTGATTTTCAGTGGAGTGATTAACATCCTCACGTAAGACACAGAAGAATAGCAGCATTTTCCTGAACTGAATTCTGCTCTTCACAATAGGAGTACGAAGCCAGGACTTAAAAATTAAATCTAGTTCCTCTGTGATTTCTCCTTTCGGGAGGCCCCCTTGCTGTCCTGTGGCTACCGTGAGTTATAAATAAGTCCTTCACAGCACAGTCTAAGTTACATTTACCATCTGTCTCCTCTTTGTCATCTACTTGCAGGGAAGACTCCATTATATAATAAAACCATATTGTGAGAGCTGGAAACTCACTACTTGCAGCCAAAGCACTTAAGAGAGGAAAATAGAGTCCACAATGTTAAAATATTTAATGAAATATTAAACAGAACTGGAAAGAGGAGGGGCAAGAGAGTGATGTCCATCATTTATGTCCTCACTGTAACTCATCTGGAATGACACTACCAGTTGCTGTACTAAATTACAGTTACTAAAGTAGATACTAAAATTATCATGCATAGGGGAAGATCCTGAACTGGCATAAACCATCAGCTCACTGAAGCCAATGAGTTATGACAATTAACACCAGCTGTCTAAACTTCATACTTTGTAAAACACAAACCACAAAACTACTTCCACTCACTTGTATTTTTTTCATTAAGTCTTTAAAAGCAAAGACTAGAATGCTTACTGACAACCAACCCAGATAATTCTATTTCACATACAGTCTTTT